TTCCCGCGCAGAACCCGCACACGTTAAAAACCCTGCTCGCACAAGGGAGTCCCCTTTCCCAGGCGGTTAGGGCAAGTCTGTACTGCGTGCCACATCTAGGCCATCTGAGGTTTCTGTGTGGTGCACATGCAGAAGTCCCCCCCATGTGGCGTCATCGTGGAAATCCCCGCCTATTACGGCCTTTTGTGACGTCACCATGGACAATGGCCCGCCCACTTTGACCCCTATGACGTTATTGCAGACGTCGGCCCGCCCACTTTGGTCCTCCTCTGGTATCACTGCAGACGTCGGCCCGCCCACCTTGACCCCTGTGACGTCACTGCAGAAAATGACCCGCCCGCTTTGACCCCTATGACGTCACTGCGGACGCTGGCCCACCCACTTTGGTACTCTGTGACGTCATTACAGACGTCGCCCCGCCCACTACGTCTAGACGGCCGCCCTACCAAGTAGCCGCGCTTCGATTGCCTTCTTCAATGAGTGTGTGACGCAGTCAGTGTTTGTCGGTCCGGTGGTACGCACGAATCGTGGCGCTGTAACCGCAATCGTCGTACTGACGAGGTCCAATTGTGGTAATGGCAAGAAGTGTATACGACTTAATGGACCGAAACATTTTTTACCGTTATAATGATTTTATTAAAAATAATCTTATTACTTTTACTAATTTCTTAATATTATTTACTTTTGTCTTCTTCCAACTTTTAAATATTTTCCTATTGCTTTACGTCGCGACGAGGCTGTGCTTGTGTTGTGAAAGCCTCAATTTCAATCTCAGTAACCGGGAAAGCTGGAAGGCTGAAATTTCGGATATACGTCCCTACCTTGTGTGTTATCTCCTGGGTGCGTAAGGGGTTGCTTCTCCGGTCTCGAATTTACCGGTCTCTTGGCCCCGTTGGAAATCGCGGTGATTTTGTCGCTCAAATCTGCGAGGAAGCCGCTTCGCCCTGAACATTCTGGATGTCACCAGTCTTATTGTTCGATTTTTACACTTATGAATAGCAAATATCTTCCGAAAAATACTGCTTCCTGCTCAGTCTGGTTACCGACTTGCTTGAGTGCCAAGAAGTGTCCTAAACTAAACTTTGAATTGCACACACACACACACACACGACACTTAAGCACTCCTTTCAGGGCTGGATTTGAAATATTTAGGTCACACATAGGCGTAGAATATCCTTGTAAAGTTTCAGCTTCCTGACTTGGTATTTCATCGGAGACCAGTGTGGTCGCACATAGACATAGAATAATCCTTGTAAAATTTCAACTTTCTAGCTTGGTACTTGAGCATCTTATCAGGGACCTGTGTGTCACAGTCGCTGGACCACTTCCACCGGATGAATCGTAGTTGTTACGAGGGAATTTTGGAGCTTTTTTTATTTAACCTCATTGTATATATTCTGTTATTTTGATCGGCCCGTATTGTGCGTTCTATCATCGACGCCACGGCTAAATATCGTTCCATCCTGAGTACCGTTATGCTTGTTCTTGATGCTTATTATGTGATTTTCCAGGTGATCTTACCCCGAATACTAACGAATTAACCGATAACACCGCGGAATGTTCATCAAAGAAGTATGTTTTTATTGTTTCGGGGTTGTCCAGATGCCTTCCACCCTCCCTTGCGCTTGATTCTCAATAAATAGCAACGCGCACCCAGACTAGCGGGTGCGACCATGCGTTTTGTGCAATTCTGCCCATCGAACGATTGCCTATTAATGATTTTCACTGCTTTGTATATTAGTCTATGCAAAAATAGTTCAAACGTTGGAAAACAGTTAAAAATTTCACGCACCAGCGCATGAAAGCTGAATTCGAAACCTTGAAGGATGGATATCTTTCCATGATTGAGTTAATAGTTTACTCGCCAAAATTTTCACGAGGCCGTAGGTGGTACCCGAGAGTGCGAGAACGCTGAGTTTGAATGGGCAAGGTTGAGCGGGGGCAGGGGTCATTACCCG